CATAAATTGAATGGAAAATCAGAACTGGTTTTCAGGAAATGGAGGAAAATAAGCATGTACCAACTGCTAAAAATACCAAGGTGAACTGTACACATAATAAAAATAAACTACAGAGTAAGCAAACTGTTTCACATCTTGTGGATGAAAAATTTAAAGGACTGTATCTTCAGATTGTGATATGCAAAACAGAAATACATCTAAGAACTGCAGTGAAAAAGTAATTAACCAGGGTATAACATGATGAAAAGCCTGAAACTGAAATTTATTCTGAACTTTATGTAATTTAAAATTATTATGTGGTTAATTTTGTGTTTATAACATAGTCTAATTATTTGTTTCTTTTATTTCTATTTACTTTATTTGTACTGTTTGGTTTCTGACAAAAAAATGTACTACCTGGGACATGCAGTCCTTGGGATAGGGTAGTGTAAAATACCCAGCTGCAGTGAGATAGCTTCCCTGCATACCAGAAAATGGCAGGGAAAGCCAGGGTTGGCGGATTTGGCACAAAATTGTCCATTTAGTGTCACAATTGGTGATATGCCACAGACAGAGTGACAACATTCTAGAACACATTCTTAGCGGTTTTCTTCAGGAATGTTAAGGTAGATTAAAGCTATATATACCCCATCTGTACGAGTAGTAGTGTATCTTGAGTTTAGAGATTCGCTTGAGATTGACTGACAGAGTCAGGAGCTGTACTTTAGTGCTTTGCTGTGAAGCTGTCTTCACCACTGCTATGTTACTGATTGTTTCAGCTGTTTATCGTAGTTTTTCGACAACTGTAAATGTGGCTTTGGAACTCTTATGTGTAATACTGGCCAAAAAATTGTGTTTTGATTCTTCATCAAGTGTCATCATTAATTACTCCAAATCCATGAACCTGTAGAATGCAACAATAGTAGGGCTGAAAAACAAAATAAGAGCTTTCAAATGTGTCAAATAATGAAATTGTTCAACAGCTTTTCTTCCTGAACAGAATGATATATTACAACCTATATTTTCAAAAAATTAGAAAGGGGCCATTGCAGTGCTCGATAATCGAAAGTGTGTGGTTTGGGTGGGGCTTGATATCATAGCAGGAAACATGTTATGAAAAGCATAAAATACAATAATTACAAAAAGTAACTTTAGTTTCTCAGCTGAGTCACAGCGTTTCATTTTTTTAACTTTTTATTTTTCAGCTGAGTTACATTTCCTTGTAACATTATACTAGTTCAGTTAGAGCATGATACAGTTTACTCATGCTGTGTTATATTTGCTAATTTTTTTTATAAAAAATAATATTGAATTTAAATAACTTTCAGAAGCTTTTTACACATATTTTACAAAAGTATGTTCATCTGCGTGGGATTATCAAAGTGCCTAAAAATATAAATTTTATTTCTAAAATTTTGAATTTCTAGAAATATTTTAGATTTTTTTTTTTTTTAACTCCATTATTCAGACTTACACAACTATATTCAAGCACCCATTTCTATCAACATACAATCAAAAGTATGCAAAAAGATTAAAAAAACAAAAATTAACAATTGGCAGCTGCACGAAAAAAAAAAAAAAAGAGCCTTACAGAGGCATCAGTATAAAATATATATTAGCTCTCAAATTCAGAATATCACTCTAGATTTTTTTTTAAAGTCTCAACTGTTTGTTTTTATGGACAATAAGTTATAATTCATGCAAAATTTTACCACAATTTAAATTTTTTATATACCACCCTTGAAAGGATTAACAGTCAAACATGGGTTTTCAATCTTTACTCTTTGGTAAAAAAATTATTTGAAACAAGTTCTGAAATTCAAATTCTGGGACTTCTTCAGATAAGTTCGAATTATTTTGAACTTCCTTGAAACTTTGACATTTGCTAAAAATGATTTATTTTTCAACCAAGAGAGTTAACTGCCGGTAAAACTCATAGTTTTAAATTTTAGATAATAAGATCAAATAACTCAATCAAAATGGAAATTTAAATGTAAAATATAAGTATATGCCATGGGATAGATTAGCAGACCTTGGGGAAGGGAACTGATATCTACTAAGAAGATTAAAAGGAATAATTTTCCTTTATTCAAAAGCAGTGATGCAGTGATTTTTTTTCTTCATTATTATTTTTTTTCAAATTCTGTAAGTTGAAAAGTATATACTGGGTGGTTATAATTAAACTTTCTCTATAAACTGCATTCTACGGTGCAAATGGGTGAACGGAATGCAACAAAATTTTCTATATGGGCTACACATGAGATGCGCTCACAGAATTTTGAAAAGAAAATTTAGTTTCAAAATGTCCACCAGAGAGCACATTTTCGGGAAAAACATGAAATTTAACACAATAAACGACCAAAATGGAATATGGAAGCACTATTAACAATCCAGAACAATCCAGAGTTATGAGTAATAAAATATAAAAATGGGAAAAGCTTTCAGTTGTAGGGGAAAAATATTGACATTTGCGGATAAGACGTTTGCAGACATTGTCATGTTTATGGCGATGTTTCCAGCTGTACTAATGATGGCCTCTTTTAGTTTCACATATGTTATTGGTAAGGCTGTTTTACAAAAACAAGGGGAATGCTTCTGCTGCAAATCATGAATTTCGTCATAAAAAGAACCTACGTGGATCAATGTCTACTAAAAGGTATCCGGGCCATGATTAAGAGATTTGAAAAGACGGTGAAATTAGGAGTTCAACATGGAAGAGGCCACAAACGTGTTATATCGGTACTTGTTAATGCTGTCAAGACAGCTGCTGACACACAGTCACATACATCAGAGTTTGGGGGCAGTAGTGCACATGCAGTTCCCTGACAGACGGGCTATTCTTACAGCATCATCCGAAAAGTACTTTGAAACATAATGTACTGCTTTTCATGCAAGATGCGCCATACCCAGGAGTTGCTTGATAGAGAAAAGCCGCAACATCTCTCATTCGCAGTCAGTATTCTCAACAGAATGGCTTTTGATCTGTCACGGCCTTGGAATATTCTGTGAAGCGACTACGCTCATTTCTACCTCAATGGGACAATCAACACACAGAATTGCTGCATTTGGACTAAGGAAAATCTGCAGATCTACATTGAAATTCCCCTACAGTCGCCAAAGGTCTGGTGTGATATCACAGCGACATTCATCCTTGGGCCATTCTTGTTTGAGGAAATCAGTGAACATGGGCCTGTCACATGTTCTGTTAAGGGCCATCGGTGCCGTGACATGCGGCAGGCGATTGCTGAGCCGCAATTACAGCACAGGTGGGTCCTTATATCGACCATTTTCATACAGGATGGTGCACCCCTACCTATCTATGGGTCTGTGAAGGCACTATTGCTCCAACACTTCACAGAGGAATGCATTGTTAGTCGCTCCTTTCCTAATCCATGGCCGGATCACCAGATCTAACTCTGTGCGATTTCTGGTTATGGGGCTATTTAAAAAGTCTGTTGTATCGTGGACGTGTTGCAACATTGAATGACTTAATTAACTCCTTAACGTTTCATGTGCGAAGCCTTACAACTGATTAGTTACGATCTGCTGTTGAACACTCCGTTCATCGACTTGAAATTTTGCAGGTGAATGAAGGTGGTCACGTGGACCACCTTTTTCTGCATCGTCCTGGAGACAATTGAGAACTGCTCCTCTTGTGCAATTTTGTCCTAATGTGTTCATGTTCCTGCAAACTGAACTGTTTTTGTTTCTCCTTCACCTTTACTTAATGTGGTTCGATTACAAGGTGATCAAAAGCTACACAATAAATGTTTATATTGTTTCTGTATTCCGTTTTGGTCATTTATTGTGCTAAATTTCATGTTTTTCCTGAAAAGGCACTCTCTGGTAGAAAATTTGGAGCTAAATTTTTTTTTTCTAAATTCAGTGAACGTATCTCGTGTATAGCCCATGTACAAAACTTCGTTGCATTCCATTCACCCCTTTGCACTGTAGAATGTCATTTATAGAGAAAGTTTAAATATAACCACCCAATATATAAACCCCTTAAAAATTACATTGCTTTAACTAACTTAAATGCACTAAAAAGTTAAAGAATAACATTTAGCTGTAATGTTATTTGTCATTTGTTACAAAAAATTATTTTATACCTTTTTATGTATATTTTATTATTGTTTACTAATAAATATTAATAACAATATATTAAAAGATATTATTGCTTAATAAATCAAGACTGAAAATTTAATATGGGGATGAGTAATAAACAGTCAGCGTTAAAAACAATTCGATTTACAGTGTATTTACAATTTTATTATTTTATGCAAAAAATGCGCATGTAAATTTTTTCACCTGGCATTTTTATTTAATAAAAACAAATAAAAGAAAATACAGAACATAATACTAAACATCACTAATATAATGACCATGGGCTTTCCCCTATCTTTGAGTATTAGTGGTACAAGTTGATTAAATGCATCTTGGGAACAATTTTTATTGTAAGTTGGTTACATTCAGTGATTTATCACAAATCGGCTACTTTGTTTTCAGTATTATTGCATTATTCACCAACTTTGAGAAGAATCACTAGGCAAAGCTGGATTTTTCAGTGAATATTAGATGCAACATTGTACAGAGATCTACGAGAAGCTATATTTGAAAATCAGAAAATCTACAAATATATTTTATAGGGTCATGATTGGTAATTTGGACAATGGGTACATCTATGTAATAATAAACAATAAGGAATGAAGTACAACAATATTTAGAAAAATAAGTTTTATGAAAGAAATGAAAATGCAGTTAAAATATGATAATATTTTCCATACATAGTTTATTTATGCTTGCAGTTTATAATACTACAAACCATGAAATAATCCTTCAACTTAGTGAAAGCAACTACACAAACAGAAAAAGCGATAGCAATTATTTTTCAATATTATTTACCTATTAAAATATTATAATTCAAATACTGACTGCTAATTATTATAAATAGTTTAAAAGACTAAATGTTATTTAAACTTCATTTTTAAAAATAAAACATGAAATTTTTCAATTCAACATACTTGTTGATTGATTCTTTCATACCACTTAAAAGGGCTTTGCGAAACCAATCGCAACGAGATGCTATGACTACACAATGAGCTTTAATAATAGAACATGGTTTTTCCTTGCCTAATTCGACAGCATGAGCTTTACTTTGTACTGAAGCTTGATCAGACGAATTTTCACAAGGTTCTAAAAAAACAAAAATCAAAATAACTCAGTTTTATCTTAGAATAAAATCTAATCAAATATACTTTCTGTGCAGCACTGTAATTATTCACAGTAAACAAAACATTTTCTTTATATTTAATAACCAAAGTTATAGGTGAAATTCTCTGATTATTATTGTATCAATCAATTTGAGCTCTTTTGTTTCCATTTTCAACACACAGCATTTTATACAGACAAGTAAGAAAATGAAAATTCTCCTGAGTCTGTTTTTGGTCACAGAAGAAAAAACACAAAAAACAGCATAAAATTATGAATTGTTCTATGCTATTAAAGGCATGCTATATTTCAGTAAAATTAAGAAGTCTTTCAGCATGCATAAGGGACTTCAGAAGCAATAAGGTATCATAAAAGTGAGAAGATATTATAAAGGATGATATATTAATAAATATTCATAACTTTTATTACACAATTTGTTATGAAAATAATTATTTTATCAAATTTCCAATTTTATCTCTAGGCAATACCAAAATAAAGAACAACATTGTTCTATGGGCAAAACAGACAAAAAACAAATGGAATAACAGACAATCAAACTTTCTAGATATTATTCTTAATCAATGCACTGAAAAAATTGGACAGAGATCTGAATGCATTAAATGCTCATTTTCAATAAAAATTTTTAGAAAACTTAATTTTTTTAAAAGAAAGATTCTGATTATTATGCCTCTCATGAAATAGTGTACTCAAATAATTTTAAAATCAAGAAATTCATCCAATAATATGCACAGCTGATGAATAACAGTAATTGATGAAAGACAGGATTGTGTTAGGTTAGATTATTTGAATATGCAAAAGCACCAAGGCTATCTGCCTACGAAGAGGAATGCTCCTGTGGAGAAATTTCTGAAGGATACTGATTTCTATTCATGTTACACATGAAACAGCTTCTATTAAATTAATTTTAACAATATTGTTTGGTACAAATTATAGAGTTATTAACTAAAGATTCTAAAAACATACCTTCAATAAAATCTAGCAGTGAGAGATGTGGATGGAGGTAAAAAGAAATGGTATAAAAAATGTGACTACAATCAGCAATTTCACTACAATGGATACTTGATAAGTATGGCACTGGTAAAAAAGTCCAATCTCCTAAAACTAATTAGTTGTGCAAACTACACTGCAGAAAATAACTGCTGACTTGTATGATTAATATCACTAAAACTGTAGGTTTCTGCCATATACAGAAGCTTAAATCAATGTCCTTTAGACCCTACTAAACTGGTGAGTTATCGGTCTACTCTGAATCAAACAACAGAGTCTTGAGGTTGAAATAACCTTTTTATTTAACTCTTGAAATTAACAGAATACCCTATTTGAATGAACTCCACCATTTGCAGAATGAACCCAGAAGAACCATTTGAGAACCCAGAATGAACTAACTCCACCATTTGCAGGTATTTAAAATAATATAAATTGAAATTCAAATTTAAGTAACATAATCAGAAATTAAGCTTGAACAAGTAATTAATGGCATACAATTAACATAGTCTAACAAAATGACGAATGCCGGAATAAAGTTTGGCAGACATGGCAATAGGATGTGAACTGCAAACTATGCTGCCAGAATCTTTAGCTCTAAAACATTCAAACCCTTGGCTTAAATATTCTAGAACTAATTTGCATTCTGGTGAGGACTATGGAAAGCAGTTATAGTAAAGTTTCTAATCATAATATTTGGTTAATTAACATAAAATCCCACAGAATTATAGACTTTAAATTGCTAAATTACTCTTACATATACAATTAATGAATAATTAGTCCATATTTCTTAATATTCAATTACAGTGATTATCAACTGTTAAAACAATACGTGCATATAACACCTGAACTTTAATACTGTACTATTAAAGATTTCATTCCAAATAATACATCACATAAAGTAATATATTCTATCAACAGCACCTGTCTCTCATTTTGTTAGTATTATGGAACCATAACTGTCAAATTACAGAAATATCAATGACTCAAATTATTATTAAAGATTGAAACAGTTACAAGAAATAACTCTTAAAAGTTAGTAAAGTTGAATTATTAATATATTTCTTTAACTACATTTTGAGACTAAAAAGATCCACGTATTATCAATATTTATTTATCAGTCCTAATACTTTATTACATATATTGTATGCACATTGAATTTACATTTCCCTAATTGCAATAGTGAAGCTATTAAAGGCTGTTCACATAGGGGTTTATCTGAGCTAATGAAGAAATCTGGCATAGCCGATGTAGCTCCAAAACCAATTTTGACTCATAGTGGAGAGAGTTGAAAAATCTGAACTGTACGTATAGTGGAGCTAGTCCACACATAGAACTGACTCTGTTAGCTCAGATAAACCAGTGTCAATGGCCCTTTAGTAACCTGATTTTATCTGATTCTGTGATTTTTATCTGATAGTGACGTTACTGATATTCTACTATATAAATGGTTTAAACATGTAGAACATGTCAAATTATTGCAGAATTTATTAAAATTAAAATGGATTTAAGCTGTTTGCAGATATTGATATCAACAGAAAAAAATACTAGTTTAAAAGACATTTATTAAAAATTTCCAGAAACTTAATGCAGATGAAGATTTCAATGCCATCAATTTGTGTGAACATGCAAATATAACAAATAATGACAAATTCAACTTTCTGGTTGGAACTAAATCAAATACCTAACCGCAAAATCAAAAAAACCTTTTTCCCAAAATAGCTGAATATATAATAAAAATAATATTTCAGCTTGTTTCAAAATTATGGCTCCATACTACTTTAAAGATACCACAAACTGACAAGGATGAAAATGCTGTGATCTTTAGCATCTGTTAACAGCACATGACCACAGCAGCCACTGTAGTGTAATTTTACAATTCAGCAGACTTGTTATGAATTTGTGCATACAAACACAAATATTTTCACATTTTGCTATGTTACATATTGAACAAATATTAAAATCTACTGCACTAAAAGAAAGGATTAAAAAATTAATATAAATTATTATTTATTTAAATTAAAAAAAATTATAAGCCTATTTTTTTTATAAATATAACAATTTTTTAATTATTTTCCTTTAAATAAGTTTTTTTTTTTTTTTTTTTTTCATTTGGCTTTCATTTTCCATATCATTTGTCAATTATCTAGTCTATTTAAACAATTAGCACAGAGAAACATAGTTATACTCAAACATTAAAAGAAGGTATTTTATTGGTTTTGAGTATTCTATTACAAAGGAAAATTAAGCTGGAAATGCAGCTAAAGGAAAAAAATTCTGGAATTATAGATCATTTATAATAATTTTTTATAAAATTATCATATATTTCTAAAAATATTGCTAGAACACAAAATTAAAACATATCTTGCACTGGTTACAAACATACTAATTAAAATCTGAAAAGAAAACTGAAATAGTTTATATAAATGTGAAAAACCATACATTAATTGAATGGGAGACAAAAACTATCAGATGCAAAATTAAGTCCAGATTACAGTATGTATAAGGTAAGGCAACGGAATAGATTACAGGCCCATAAGCAAATTAGGACGATATAAATACATTACTTCATTTAAATAGGTTCCATTATAAATTTCAAAAACATATTCTGCAACAAATCTTTTCCTGTAGCATACCAAGACCTTCATAAGCAAATGAAACAATAAAATAGAGATTATGTCACTGAAAAATTTTTTAGATAATATTAGTTGTAAGATACCAGTTTCTTGGCAGATTAGCAGTATTGTATCCTAAGTTTGCGGACAGATAACACTTGGTGTTTTATTTTCAAATAGGATGGCATATCCTGTCACTTTCAGACAGAAGTTACTTCTTTTCTCAATGAAGACCCCATTTGGATTGATTGTGAGCATTATTCTAAGGTCACCATTATTAACAGACCTTTCACCCACAGATTTCAATGTATGAGGTTTTGTTATAGATCAGATTTACAATTTGCAATTACTATAACCAGTTCCTGAATTTATATCACAAATCACCACTGCACTTGGTTTGATGGAGATAAACATGCAAACAAACATACAGCAAGAATTGATTTGCAGAGTACGAAAGGCAAATATATCTAAGAGTCACAGAAAAAATAATCTTTATGTGTTTCACTATCTTATAATCAGTTGTACTCTTATTTTTTGCTCCATAACTATACAAGATAAACTTCTTATTGCCCAACTAATTTATGCTGGCATAGTATTTTGATTTTAACTTTAAAACTCTGCACATCAAAAGAGGCACAGAAATTAGAAACTATAGATAATAAAAGTGAATGGAGTGTTTATATTGCTAATGAAGCATTTATATTTATGTTAAATTTAAGTTAAGGCATTATGTTATGAAATATTATTTAATTTAATTCTTTCTTTTCTGCCCTTTTGTTTTGTTTTGTTATGAGTTTGCTTATTAAAGAACTTGTGTAGATTTTGAGTAGCAAGCAGTTTTACTACAAAGTGTCAACTTTACAAATAGGAGTGTGGCGCTTCCACTAACTGTTGATACAAAAAACTATTTTTGCTGGGAATACTTTAGACTGAGGTTAGATCCTGCCTTGCTAAATGTGTATTTCAAATTCTGTCATCTTCTAGGTAATCTGCATAGGTTAAACTGTCGAATTTTTATCCTTTGTGAAAGGAAGTATTGCATTTAAATGAGGTATGGGTTGGCTGGTAAATTTGTATTTGCACAGATCTCGTTTAAACACTCAAGACTCAGGCAGAATAAACTTGAAGCATTTTAATTTTGTGTCTGTTTGTTTGATTTCTAGATACACTGGTGGGAATATTACACTGCACAAAATACAGTAGAGTCCTGCAAACTCAACAACTTTTAAGGAACTTTTTAAAAATATCTCTAGGCCTAATAAACTTCAAGATATGTTGTAATACTTGGCAATGCTGTTTGCTTCTTTCGAGGATACGAAGAAAGTCAGGTAGTGGCTGGCCACTGGCTCACATTCCTTTATATTGTTGCAAAATGTTAGGAGACTCGTCTGAAGTTTTGTGACTGCATCTGATTGCAAACTAAACTCACACTAGTTCATTGCGGGTATCATTTCTCAGTTCACATCGAGACGTATAAGTGCTATACATTTTTGGGAACTTTTCATATTCTGCAAAGTGAAAATATTGTTCAAAAATAAAAGAAAACTAACGTGAAAATGAAACTGAGCCTTAAAGAGACTGGACAAAGGGAAACGTGTAAAAAATATTACCATGGATTTAGGTGTTGGATGGACTACTTTGATTGTATGGAAAAAGAAGAGGTCCGAAATCGAGTCTTGGTGTGTGAAAAGAGCATGCACGGCTAGTTAAAAGAAAAGAAAAAGTATGAAAGGTGGTGAATATGAAAAAGTGAGGAAGGCACTTTATTTGTGGTTCAGACAGCAAAAGGGAACACGGAACACCCATTTCAGGACTAGTTTTACAAGAGAAGGCTTAAAATTTTACAATTTTCAGTTATTTTACGAAATCAAAATTTACAATTCTTGAGGCCAGTTCTAACTTACCTTTAGAGATCGGTTAGTAAATAAACTGTAACAATTTGATGCCATTTAAATATATTTTTTGTGATTTATAAGTGTAAAATAATCTTTTATTTTTTCTTACAACTGGTCTGCTGAAAAAAATTTCACACAAATAATTTACAAGTATTCAAGCATTAAAAATATGCTGCTAATATTCTCAATCAGATTTATTATTTTTTTAATCTTAATATAATAATCATGCTAAAATTCCTTTGTATTAGGAATTGGCTATATGACAATACTGAAGCCTATTAATGATTCCTAAAACACAAATTTTGCTACATTCTGTCAATAAGAGCTCTCTTAAAAAAATGCATTGATAAATACTTTTCAAGACAATCTGAATAGAAATGCTCATCACTTTATTAATATCAGAAAATTTTTCGTAAATAGATATTTTATTTTTAGTTAAGTACAAATGCAGAGAGTTCCTTCTTCAATTTTTGTACATTTCCCGAACATGTTGTCCAATTTAGAATTAAACCCTCAGTCAATTTTTTTACTGTATTTTTTATAATTAATATAAAATTTTTCATACATAAAAGACATAAGCATAAAAATGGAGGAAATGAATAAAAAGTTCAATTTTGTAATTTAAACAAAATTGATTTTTTAATTAAATAATGCAAAAACAAATATTTGCATCATTCAAAACATTTTTGTAAATACAAATGCCTATGACCAATGGTTGCAGAAATAAAGACAGGAATAAGGATTTTCATAGACACAGATCTATGCTTATTTTCTGTAACTATTCTCTTAGTTTCAAATGAAATATGCATTCAATGTAAACATATCTTTTCAATAATCATTCTCATATGACATAAATTAAAATTTTTCTAACAGCAAAATATTTAACTGAAAGTTTGCATTATTATCACAAACATAAAAAAAGCACAGACTAGTTTAAGAAAATATACTAACCTGCTGTTGTGACAATTTCAAAGCTCATATCTGTGTCAATGCCACTTTTCAAAAGAGATACAGCATTTTTAGCCAATTTACTTTCTGTAGATATGGGTGGATGGCATAAAGACTCCACCAAGCAAAACTAAAAAATAACAATGCTTTGATACGAATGAAATATGTAATTAGTTGTAGATTAAGGATTTGTTGATATCTCTTAAAGCAATCAACCATCCAGATAAGCAAGAAGAAATTTATTTTTAAAATTAACACAGCAGAGTAAATAGCTATAAATAATTTCAACAAGATGTAGATATTAAGTAATTCCTCCTTAGCACATGAAAATAAGTTCTCTAAATTACTTGTGGTGACAGAAAAATTTTATCAAGGCCCATCAGAAGCATATTTGTCTGTATCTCATATTCTACTTTAGCTATTTTTACAATTTAAATATTGTTGCATTCATAACTGAAAGATTTACAATTCTACATACAAAATGTACAACACATGTGGCTACAAATACTATTAACATAAAATAAAACCCTGAAACTATTATCCTAAGAGCAGTGAATAACTAACTAACTAAATACACAATATTACAACAGACGAAAACAACAATACAATTAAATGAGTTTAAATATCTACAGAAATTTACAATACAATGAAATAGTTCCACATAAGGTTTTGCACAGAGAATTATTTTTTAAGGGCAAATTAAAATTATATTATATTTTTTTTTATTAAACAATTGTAACATATAAATTTTGGTACTTTTCCATTTGGCAGGCGCAATTTTTCATTTCGCCAGTGCAAGCGATAAAGTTGCCGAAAATGGTACAACCGATGCCAAACCGAATATCCTCGCTGATAACCTTTCATGCTACATTTTCAAAACAAGTCGCTGCTATTTCTTATTAGATTGATCATTTCTTTCAATACTGGCATACAGTTACATAGAATTTTTTAAATTATAATATTGAAATAATTCTTGCATTTAAACTCGTATTTCATACTAAGATTTAACTTGAAATTAATGTAGATAATTACAGAGAGAATCGGACTTTTGTAGTGTAGTTTACATGAGATGAGATCACATGGGATCACGTGACATGAACAGGCGAATCAAGATGTTGTACCATGAAAGCACAGTAAATTCTTAAATTAACATCTTTTTACAAATATGTCAAAAATGGATGAAAAACTAATGAAAATTTGGGATTTGCCCAGGACAGAGTTGCTAATTCATGTAAGATAAATAACTCATATTAATGGATTATTGTAAAAAAGACAGCAGCTGTAAGAAAAAGGGTGGGTGGGCTTTTCGATATAGATAAAGCTGAATTTCTTTTTTTTTAAATGAAATACCAAACAACTTTAAGTATTACATTTAAATATTATAACAAAATTTACAAATATTTTAATAAACAGTAAATATTTTTTAATTGATAAGCATTTTTACACTCTAAACAAGTTTGGTTATTAAATTTTGAAAAATAAACCATATGAATTATTACTCCCCAACTACTCAAACTGTATTTTAACGGGAACCAAATTAATATAATCAGTAAACCTCAATCAATTTAAACAAACTAGCATAGAACACTTCCAAAAATTTCCAGCAATTAAAAAGTGTCAAAGTATGAATGCAGCAGAAAGTCTGACAGTCATAAAAATTGATAAAACTGGGCCTTTATTTGCACACACACACACACACACACACACAAAGTTCAAGACACATCCATTCTCTTCTTCGAAAGCAAATTATTTAAAAAATAAATTGTTCTCACATATAGATGCTGCACCATTTTTCTAATGAAATTTAGTTACCGTTTTGTTTAAAAATAATACCAAACAAGTTATATTTCATTAAATAGCAGTACAAGTGTAAATCTTTTCCATCTAATATTTGAACGATTTAAAAATGCCACTAAAAATCAATAATAAAAATGTATCATAATTTGTTTCCACAAGGCAATTCTTTACATGTTGGAAAGATCTTATTTTTACATAATTTCACATTACACTAACATTTACAACAATATAGTACCTTTAATATGTTCCTTTAATTTAATTCAAACTAAAGCTGTTTATACAAACAGTTATATTTTGAGTAAGTTTACAACACAAAATTCCGATTCCCACATAGAGAGCATTGTAGACTACATAGAGACTTACCACTTTGTATTAATGAAATAACTATAACTCAGATGAAGGTTTAAGAAACTTTTTTGCTAAAAGCTTAACAAATACACAGCTTGTACACTACACATACACACACACACACACACACAAAAAAAAAAAAAAAAGGGGGGGGGAAGTTTTATATATCTCCTGTTCTACTGTACCAATTGACGAAATTCAAATTGCGTTTTTCATGTCTCGAAAGCGCCACTTAGGATATATATTAGATTTATATATAGCACCATTCTAACATAGGTATTTTGACACAAAATATGACTTTTCTGAAATAACATGCCTTTTTTTTTTTTTTTTCATATTTCAATTTTATGACCACAAAGTCTCCTTAAACTTTGGGTCAGGCTTCTAAATTACAACAGCAATATGGGTAATTGAAAACTAAAGCTAATTTCACAACTCTAAGAGCTGGGTGAGAAATATCATGAAGGTCAGCATCACTGCCAAAAACTCCTTTTCTAACTTCAATACCTCTGCTCCTATCTACGTTTTAACAAATTTCCATCTAGATGGGAAACAATGAAAACAGAAATGATGACAAAAATAACAAGATAATGGGATAATTAACATAGAACTTTACATGTTAAATGCAGTTATTTAAGAATTCAAACATAAAAAAATCAAATCAATCATCTTTCAAAAGAATGTTTTTACTAATTTTTGCCTTCTAATATAATAATAATAATATATGCAATTACAGAACAGTTTTTTCCTTAATGTACTCTTATCATTATTTCCTTTAAACAAGCATTTTAGTATACTTAATTTTAGAACGAGACATAAATCAGCAATACAATCCTAAAAATATTCATACTGTCAAGAAATTTAGACTGACAGCAGAAAAGAAACAAGCAGCATATAATAAAAATGTATCATAATTTGTTTCCACAAGGCAATTCTTTACATGTTGGAAAGATTTTATTTTTACATAATTTCACATTACACTAACATTTACAACAATATAGTACCTTTAATATGTTCCTTTAATTTAATTCAAACTAAAGCTGTTTATACAAACAGTTACATTTTGAGTAAGTTTACAACACAAAATTCAGATTTCCACATAGAGAGCATTGTAGACTACATAGAGACTTACCACTTTACAAAACTTTCATTATGAAAAATTTAACATTTTTCTTTTTACATGCAGTTTAATCTTTCAACTGCACGGATGAAATAAATACTACATGTTATACACATTAACATAATTAAGTAGGCAATATGAAGACTACAGAAAAATGAACTACCATCAAGCTATAGAACTAAAATTGTAGTAGACTTTTAAAAGCTCCTTTTCTTGACAGAATCCTCCTGTTTAGTAGGGTTGCAATGTAATTATATATCAGAAATGACCACACCTTGATAACTTTTAACTGTAAAAATCACGTTTATCGTATTGTTTTCCTAAATAATTTGAAACTAGTAGTTTGCAATAAATACATAAAACTAAACTATGATTGAATTATTTCATTTATCTCTATTTAAATACTAAATCAAACGAGAAATAGTGGTATGTTGGATAAACTAAAAATTCCAAATCTGGATGACATTCGACAGTTGAAATACGAGAAAAGTTTTTCTTATTTATTATTTTGAACACCATGTTTTCCTCATAACCATGTAAATATGCCCATTAAAGTTGCCTTCACATTATGTGGTCATAATGCAACATTGAGAAATATTTATTTAGAGTTGTAAATACAAGATCAGCTTGTAAATGAAAAGATATTGGCGAGTTAGTTTGAAGGAACCAGAAGAAAAGTGTAAAGATAAAAAATATTAGATCATCTGAAAAGTAGTTTTTTTTTGGGGGGGGGTATGCACAAATGAAGCAGCGCAAAAACATAAGAAACTTTCATTGAATCAGATATGCACCATTTTATTCTATGGCTTTTTATTGTTAGATAGATAGAAATTTCATTTTTTTTTTTTAAAGTCATTCGGTTTATTCCTAAAGAAGTTATCAATGTGCTGTTTGACTTTCTCCAAAGAAGTGAACTCCAGGCCTTTCAGATAAGTGATGTGAAGAGATGAAAATTCAAGAGGGCAAGGATTAGTAAATATGAAGGACGACACAAAACATCTCAGCCATAATTAATAAGTCTGTGTCTTACATTCATTGAAATATGAGGCTGAGAACTGATATGATGCAAAACATCTTCAATACTGGTCAGTTCTGGATGCATTGCTTCAATTTCTGCTTTTAAAACTGCCATTTGAGACAAGTATTTTTCCAAATTTATTATCCAATCTGGTAGAGCAATTCATAATATACAATTTAGTACGATCATACACAAAGTGTTACTTTTTTGGGATGTATCTTTCTCTCAAACGTTTTTTTGGCTTACCCCCAATTTTTTTTTCTTGCAACATTATTCTTAGTACCCACTCTTCATCTTTAATAAGTAGTTATTTCAAAGAAGGAGCTTCTTTATTATTTTTATTTTTTTATTTATTTATTTTTTTTTTTCAGTAAAGAAATCACATGCCCAAACCTTAGCATATTTTTCTCTGTAAAACTTTGGAATACCCAAACTTTGCAGCAGTGAACACACTTATTCTTCTTCAAATGAACATTTAATGTATTTTTTGGAATATTTATTCTCTCTGAACTGTATAAAATGAATTTTCAATGATACTTCTTTTAAGAAGTCCTTATTTGCAGAGAATGGACATCCAGGGCAAGCATCATATTTGAGGTTGAAATTTCCTTGCTTAAATTTCTCAAACCACCTTTGAAAAGTGTCATCAAAACAACACTTTAGCACACACAGCACAAATTTTACAAGCACTCTGACTAGCACTTTTTTCCTTATTAAAAAAATAAATAAATAAATGTATAATATGACGTGGGGGAGGGAACTTACATAATGCAGTTACCATTTAAAACAAATGTGTTTATTTAAAATAAAACCTGAAAGCTTTTAGATATTATATTACACTAAAATGTTTTTTTTTTTTTTTAAATCATTTTACACACTCATACACGCTTCAAGAACATTTAGGCTATTGTCCCTTTGGACTAAAAATATTTAAAAACAGCACATCTTTATTACTTCTGATAGACAGTCTTGTACGTTAGAAATAAAAATGTTTATTCCTGTTCAATGTTGTCACTGCTCACTTTGAAATCTTTGAGTTTGCTAATCAAAAATTCATTAACATTTTACAAAATATGAACAGACAATAAAAGAAATTCCAAATTTGACTTTCCAGGCGCCTATATTCAGGTGGAAGACTATGTTATTCAAAATTTGATGGCTCTAGATAACACTGTTTTCTCAGAATGTGAGAAAGATGCATTCATTCATGCAGATTCTTCATTATTCAATTTTTTACATATAATACAGAAGGATAATATTTGCTGGCAACAATTTGAAAAAAGAAAACGACATATTTAGTGAACTGATGCAAAATGCTGTTTCAAGACTAATAGTCTTCCTGAGCTAATGCCCCTTTGGGCTAAAAAGAACTTTTGGATTCTCCACTTTTAGCACGTCACAGAAACAAAAATTATGCCAAAACAATGCTAAAATTATGCAACATGAGCAGAAACACTATACTTAAACATTCATTTCAATCAAATTTACTCCTTACTCAACAGTAAGAAAATAATTAGATGAACACATGCTTTGATTTGAAAAAGCGAAGAACTTTTTAGATGACCCAATAGTATGATATAATATATTTTATTTTTCATTACAAACAATAAAATCTTCTTTTACGGTAATATGATTTTTAACATATCATGCATAAATATAATGTTTTAAACACAAAACGAATAAGGTATATTACAATTCAAACCTGCGAATATGTGACTGGACTAAGAGTAGGACTTTGGCTGGAATTACTTGAAATTACTAAGTCATTACTTCGAGCCTGGGTCTGGTTTATTGTTGAAGAAGATGCAGATGATGATGATGACGCAGGGGGATCCAATAAACCAATCTGGACTAAGCTACGAGTAAATTGCTCCCGATTGACTAGTTCACATATATGAGATATCATTGTGTGTAGAGTTGCACGATGACATACTAACCTACTCAGAGCCCAAGCCTGTAATTTAAAATTGTACAAAAACAAAAAATCTTTAAAAATAAATAACTTAAAACTTTAAAATTAAAATTTTTATAGTCATCAGATATGAATTAAATTTAAAATATTTTTTTTTTTTTTTTTAAATGCCTTCTTTAAACGACAAATTGCAGAAAATAGAATTATTTGCATAGGTAAGTATATATCTCCAGTAAGTCGCAGATAAATATTAAAAGAAATGGAAAATTAAGGCTATCAGTTTTAATAAAATAACAGGCTTTAAAAAATTAAATTTGAGTTTTGAAATAAGTAAAAATTTAGTTTTATAACTGATTAATAATATTTAAACTTTCAGCATTTCAAAATTACATAACTCGTACACATGTTTGGATATATAATAGATAATTTACTTTTAATTCTAAAAATCACATAAAAAAACAAAATTAAAAGATAAAATAAATTTTAAGCTCAAACTGAAATTTATTTATTTACCATCAGATGAGCAGTTGCACCGCCTTTAAGGCATTCAGCTTTTACGCTCAACTGATGGAATCATCTACCAACTGTGTTGTTATATAAAATACGATAAAATTTTAAAATTTTGATAATTATATAACAAAATTAAATATCAAGAAATAAATATATAAATAATACAATAAATAATAAACATAAATAGATACAATAAATAAAATGTTGTTATATATGAAGTCAATAAAGAATTAGAATTTTGAGAATTATACAATAAAAATTTAAAGAATTAAATATATAAATACATATGTAAGGTAAACGAAACATAAATATGTAAGTAAATACTTAAGAAGATCATTACAAATTTTGAAAATGAACAACATAATGTATAAGAATAGTAAGGGCTGAGAATGTAAGATTTGTAAAAGAGTAAAGAATAAGAGTTTTAGTATTTCATTATGGACAATGAAGAGCAGTAATTGAATAAAAGTTGATGAGAAATAGTATTTGAATGAATTAGGATGACTTGAATGAAAAGTTCGTGGAAATTCTTAATAGAGAGTCATTCTTGAGTAAAAGTCTTGACTAATAATCTTGAGTTGAGACTTTATTAATACCGGGTGGCCATAATTAAACTGACAGTGCTCACAGTGTTCTGTAGCGCGATCTATTTGCGAGAATGATGCCACATTTTGTAGGAAGATTAAACAAGACGGGGGACGAAGGATTCTGTGGAAAAAAAAAATTAGTACCAAAAGTCACCGCTAGGGAAATATTTGGTGCTGTGTAATAGAAAATAGAGTGTTAACAAATGAAAATCAATATGGAAATTACCTTTTATTTTGCATTCAAATGAGGTTCAATGTGGCTGCCGTTGTTGTGGACCACATATTGCATTCTTTGCACAGTATGCACAACAGCAGAAAGTAACACGTCTGTAGGAATCTCCCGTACAGTCCGTGATATGTTATCCTTCAACGTTGCCAGGTCCTGGACCACTCCTTGATAGACCTTGGACTTACGGTAACCCCATAGCCAGAAGTCGCATGGGGTAAGATCAGGCGACCAAGGTGGCCATGCAGTTGGAAAGTAGCGGCTAATGACTCTTTCTGTTGTGAATTTCTGTCGTAGCATCTGTTGCACCCGTACAGCAATGTGTGGAGGGACTCCATCTTGCATGAAAATGATTCCTTGTCTTTGCTGAAGTGCCAGAATGACAAAGCTGTTCAACATGCGGCAACATTTCTCTCCGATAACAGAACAGGTTTCCGGTCTTGTCGGGGTAATGTTCTCATAAAAGAATGAACCTACAATAAATTCCGCTGTGAACCTACACCAAACAGTTAACTTTGGTGAATGTAAGGGAATTGCTGTGACTGCATGTGGTGGTTTGTCATCCCAAATTCGGCAGTTCCATTCAGGTAAAAGTGGGCTTCGTCTCCCTATAAGATTTTCCATGGCCAAGCATCATCCACCTCCATTCTGGCAAGAAAGGTGAGAGCAAAAGTCAATCGCTTATCATGGTCGGGGTACAGTAACTCCTGTACACGGCTGATCTTGTACGGATAGAAGTTGATAATCTTTCGTAAGATTTTCCATACCATATTGTAAGGCATATCCATATTCCGAGCTACTCCACGAGCGCTAGAGGTGGCAGCAATATTGTCTGGTCCTCTGTCGACAATCGGTGTGGCAACTGCTTCGATTGTATCCTGTGGTACTGGTTTTCGACCTCTACCTGACTGATAATTTCTAAAACTATTTCCTAAAGGCACGTGTACTCACACAACTCAGGACAAGATGAACGAAATAGTGAAAGAACATCCAAAGAACGGCCAACGGCCTTGAGCTTGCTTTATGCTCATTGGCTAATATATGCCAGATGACACGCAGTGGAGCTCGATGCCCATTGGAGAACTTGAAAACGAAGTTTCTGGATACGTATGCTGTCAATCACAAAGCAGAAATTCTCATCTGATTCGCAAGAGATTTCATTTTAGATATAATCTAGAGAAAATTCAGTTGCTTTCAGACGTCCACAATCACTTTTTTTTTGTTCATATAACAAAGTATTAAGCCAAGTTCCATAAAAATTGTGAGAAATATTAAGAATAAGAAAAAGGCGGGAGAAATATATTGTAAATCGGGTTGGCGGGAGAGCGGTCGAAAATCGGGAGTCTCCCGCCTAAATCGGGAGAGTTGGCAACTCTGTGTGGTTAATTCTCGCTGAAGGTGTTGCTAATTTTTCATCTCTCTTGATTTAAAAAAACCTAATGTCTCTACACACTTTAGTTACTGACTTTTATTCTGTTATGGCTAACAGCTATCACCAGCAACAATGTGCATAGTGTTAAAGAATTTATGGTCTCCAATTTAAGGGGTGACACAGAACATAGCAAAGGCCACAATTTTCATGGTAAAATGCAGCATGGAATTGAATTGCAAGCATAAAACACAAGTTTAAAAACACAGTAAGCATGAAGAACATAGAAAATGAAAATTCATTTTAACCATGAATATTTAAAATAGGTTGTGTTTGATATTTGCAAGAAATGTTCAAATAGATAACCAGAAACAGCAATGCATGCTTCACAATGATAATGGATTTCATTTCCGACACGCAGATTGATTCCTCGTAAAACCTCATCAGCAGAATTAGCATTACTACTGCAGAAGTACATGACATACCAAGCATTTTCCAAAGTGTACACCAATGCACTTTGTAATCATTGTAATGTATGTATTGTTATTGGTAGTTATTCATTTGAAAAATTCCAATAAATGTACAATATTTTTTGTAATTACATGATTAAACTCACCTTTGTTTGTAATTACAGTGTTTCCTCATTAATATTTGAAATTCCATCCCAAACTGTGTTAAAAAAATGTTAATTTTGCCAATTATTACCTTTTTTTAGATATGACCATCAATTTTTTTATACCCTATTTATAGCATATATTAAAATACTCAATAAAATATATTACTGAATAAAATTGCAAAAACTTACCACTTTCGATGTACCCAATTTAAATAAATATTTCCACTCTTTCCATGTTAATTTTTCATCTAATGCCGACTTTAGTTCTTCAGTTCGCAACATAAACATTGGGATCTATGAAAACAATCAGTTACATTTTTCAGCACTTACTTTAAAAGTGAATTTAAAAAAAAATATTTACTTCAAAACTTACTTCATCGATGAACTGTTCTAAATTTTTCGCTACTTGTCTATTTTTATTTATATAATTCATATCACTAAAGCTCTCCCTAGGGGAATAAAAATTACATATTTTGCAACTTTGTTCTATTTAATTTTAAATTACAGTGTACTATACTACGAGAGTCAGTCAAGAAGTTAGTTGCAGTGCCTAAGAAAACAAAACAGGAGCAAAATTTTACAATATTTATATCTTAAAGTTCCATTCAAAATCTACTTTTCAACGTAATTACCTCCACTATTTAACCCGCGAGCACACGCGATGGTATGCCATACCCATGTGCATGTTTCTTTTTGTATATTTCTCGCCCTTTCTTTCATAAAAGGATGAAACTTGGTGTAGCTGAGTTCAAGGTCACATACTTAAAGGGAAGAAATTCCTGAGGTGGAAGGTGCAACGGTTTTTTAGGAACAGCATTATTCGGGCATGTCATACCCGCACGTGTACTCACGTTTCTCAGTGAGTCACTTCGCACTTCTTGTTTTCAAGCTTTTAGTATAGGTTTTTCTTGAGTTGTAAGCAATGGCGCGTATATTCCTTACGATGAAGATATGAAAAGATTGAGAAATCTCCTTGAAACAGTTTCTCTTCTGATGAGGATTCATTTAGTGAAGATGTTGATGACGAAGAATTTAATAGTAATTATGATTCTTCCATAGAGAGTAGTGATTCAGATACAGAAACAGAAAATGAAGCTCTGGAATGCAGCAATGAGTTTTATGTTGGAAAAAATGGAGTAAAATGGAACAAAAATAAATTCTGGATTAATGTTAGAATTGGTTCCAAAAACATTATAACTAAACTCCCTGGAAATACAAAGTATTCTAAAGACGTCTCAACACCTTTAGATTCCTGGTCACTACTTACCAATGAAGATATATTAAAACATGTAGTTCACAGTACAAATACTTATACTTGATTCAATATGAAAAAATTTCACTCGTGAATGGGATGAGAAAGCAACAAATAAGTTGGAAATCAAAGCTTTAATTGGATTGCTGTATTTATGTGGCATTTATAAATCATCCCATGTGAACGTAAGACATTCTTGGGCAACAGATGGAACAGAAATGGACATGTTTAGGGAAACAATGTCAGTAAACTGATTCCTCTTCTTTTTACGATGTCTCGGTTTTGATGATATTAGAGATTGTCCCAGTAGAAGAGATGTGGATAAATTAGCTCCGAGCAGATAATTTTTTGAAAATTTTGTCACAAATTGCCAGAAAAGCTTATACTGTAGGACAGTATGTGACCATTGATGAGAAGTTGGAACCATTCAGAGGTCATTGTTCCTTCAAACAATATATGCCCAACAAGCCAGCAAAATGTAGCATAAAAGTATTTGCTCTTGTAGACGACGCAAGAGTATTTTATACCTGGAATATGGAAATTTATGCCGGTAAACAACCAGACGGGCCATTTCAAGTTGAAAATGGTGTAAGCAAAGTTGTCAAATGTTTAATAGGGCCCTTATACAATTCTGGTCGAAATTTAACAGTTGATAATTGGTACATGGGATATGAATTATCTCAAGATCTCCTAAGAAGAAAAGAATAGTAGGTAGTATACATAAAAATAAGAGAGAAATCCCACCTGAGTTTCCGGCAAAGAAAAGAGAAGTATATTCTTCAGTTTTCGGTTTTCAGAAGGAAGCAACACTTGTATCTTATGTGCCGGGGGGGGGGAAACAGTGCGATCCTGTTATCCACAATGCACTCCGGCAATCAAATTGATGAATCTACTGGGGAATCTAAAAATCATTACATTCTATAACATGACAAAAGGAGCAGTCGATGTTGTAGATGAGATGGCAGCCGCGTATTCTACAGCAAGAGTAGCACTTCGATGGCCTATGGTATTTTTCTCTTTAGTGTTAAACGTGGCTGCCATTAATGCAAGAATAATTCTACTATCAGAGAAGGAACTATGAACGGAATACCATACCAGGCGTACTTTTCTCAAAGCCTTAGGTATGCAGCTAATAGAAAATGTTCAAAATGAACGACGACGAGCATCTGTGGTTCCCGATTCTGAACAAACACTGACCACTGATGAACATGTAACAATTGACCCCCCTCCAAAAAAACCTAAAATGACTCACAAGAGGTGTACAGAGTGACCCCCCCCCAAAAAAAGATAGAAAGACTAGATGTATTTGTGAAAATTGTAGCAAAAGTATATGTATGGAAGATACGACTCCATTTTGTAAACAATGTTAAAAAAATTGTAAGTAAATAATTTTTTCTCTCCTTATTGTTCCATATTTTGTCTAAAATGAAGTATTAACTTCATTTTACATTTTAATTTCTTTTAAAAACCAATTAATTTCATTCAACAAATTTTTAATTACATTTTTTTTTTATTTGGGTATGACATACCCGGCACGTGTTCTCATGCTCGTCAGATCGGTGCATGTACTCACGGGTTAAGCATTTATTGAGATGTGGTACAAGTTTTTCGATGCCTTCCACAAAGAAATCCCGTCCAATGTTCGACAACTATTGTTGGGCTGCAGCTTTAACTTCTGAATGGTACCATGGCTTTCAAAGTTCTTATTTCATGGAACCAAACACATGGAATTCAAGAGGTTATAAGGTATTTCTCCCCCCTTCCTAGCGTGCCTTCATGGTGTAGTGGTTCTGCACACTGAGATGGTATTCAGAGGTCCGCGGTTCAATTCCGGGCGAAGGCTTTGTTAATTTTTCATCTTTCCTGATTCTACAAAAATTCTAATGTCTCTACAAGGTGAAGGATCTGGGCTATAAGGAAGGTGATTCCACACTTCCCACTTAAATTTTTCAGAAGGCCACACGTTTGTTTTATTGCATGCGGTCTTGCATTGTCATGCAGGAGCACAATGCTATTCGACAGTTTACTTGGCCATCGATTTTTAAGTGATTGTCGCAATCATTCTAGTGTTTCACAATAAGAAGATGCATTAATTGTGGCACCCTTCAGCATGAACTTTGTATGCACCATGCCTTCTCTGTCAAAAAACAGCGTCATTATCACCTTTCCTGCAGATGGAACAATTTGACACTTCGTTCGTGTCGGGGAACTGCAGTGTTTCCACTCGAGCGAGCTCGTTTCGTTTCAGGTGAGAAGTGGTGAATCCAAGTTTCATTTCTAGTCAAAATTTTGTCCCCAAACTCATTTCCTTCCGTTTGTTAACATTGCAGAAATTCAAATGCACTTTCAAAATGCTTTCCTTTATGTTCCTCTGTAAAATAGATGTGGGACCCATCGAGCACAAACTTTACGAAATTTAAGGTGATTGGCAATAATTTCATGCACACTTCCATGAGAAATATCCAGTTCATTTAAAGATTCTGTCAATCGTTATGCATCTGTTTGCAAGAATGCATTAATTCACGTGAGCAGCAATTTCTGAATTTGTTGCAGTTGATGGTCTTCCCTCACGCTCAGTGCCATCAACATCTATCTGTTCGTCCATTCTCAAACATGTTGCACCATTTTGCGATCGCTTGACGTGACACTGCACTTTCACCATACACTTCATGCAACTGCCGATAAATTTCAGTGCAGTTGCACCTTTTTGCCCACAAAAAACGAATTACTGCACGCTTGCAGCTGTTGAGACATGTTTGCGACTGATTATCAGAAAAACTAAACTTGCCTCGGGGAAGCCGCTACGTCACGCGATAAAGGTACATGTCTGAAGAGTTGCCACACAGTGTCATCCAAATAGTCTTAGGCGGAACATATTTATGCAGTAGTGCAACAAACTTTCTGACTGACTTATGTATAATGAACAGCATTTAATATAATAAACAATACATTTGAAAGAGAAATTCAATAAAGCACTAGAAAAGAAAGACGTCTTTTTTGAAATTAATAGTAAATGTCAAAGTTACATACTTTTTATGCATAAGGTTCATAAAACTGACAGTGGCTCTTTCATGAAAACTCCTCAACTTCATTAATTCCCTCATATGTAAAGCCTATATAATTCATAATGAAAACAAATAATTTTATTTCTATGAAGAAAAAGATAAAAACAGAGAAATAAGATGTAATTCATTCAGTTATTATATGCCAACATGCAAAAGAACATTATTTATCCACAATAAACAGGCAATAGCCACCTGACAATTATTAGTTTTGCTTATTAATGCAGTTATAAACAAATAAACAATAAATGTAGCAAAATAGCTAAAGCCAGAATATAAATGGCAGAACTGGGCTGTACAAAATAAAACTGCGAACACCACTGCCAAAAGCTCAATATCTAAAACATTAAAAACCTTTAACTTAATTTTCATCTTGGTGAGGGCCACAGAAAGAAGTTACAGTAATAATTGGTCAATTAACATAAAGTAACTTGGAAACATAATTCATTATTTTCATTTTCTAGTTCAAAAATATTTTCAATATTGTAATGTCATTAATAATATTGTAATATTTTCAATATTGTTAGTCAGACACTAACACACCATAAGCTACCTTGAAAATAATTAATGAATCCAATTACAATTTGTAAAGTAATTGTTTTTATGTTTTATTACCTGGGTGCTTTCTCTAAAAAACTGACTGACTATAAATTAATTTATCATACATGTCTTTTATAACCATGAGATGTAACATACTTAATAACTGAACAATAATTAACCAGCAAGTAACTGAAAACTAATGACTGCTGAGCTAATAAACATGTCCTAAGGCAAAAAGAACTGTCGCACCACTATCGAACTCCATGAGAGGTAAGTTTCTCTGTTACGGAATGGCAACGAGAGAGATTGTTGTTCAAAAAGATGGATGATCGAACTGCGTTGTAACGATCATTTTTGAGGATGTTGCGTACTGTAAAATGAACTTATTACACTGTGCTAAATAGTATTAAAATGCTATATATTAAAAGATCTTTCATCTGATCTAAATTTTAACAAACCGCTCATTATTTTCTCTTAAACTCACAATGTTCACGACATCTTCTGGCGCCCCGGGTGGGCGTGTTTGTTGGAAACATGTCGGATGAAAGAATAGATAGGGTAAGTTGATTACCTTATACTTCCGTTTTGAAGTTATTGATTATTGTTTTACTGAAGTTTAAAATACTTTTCTTGCCTAATTTTTATCTGAATATTTTAAACTTAAGACAAAATGGAAGTGATGAAAAGAAACAAAACTGCGCAACGTTCAGCTTTTACTAAAGCATATAAAAGACTAGATGATCTTTTAAAAGATGATAATGTTGATTATGAAGAAGCAGAAATGTGCTTTTATTTGTTCAAGAAAAAGGCAGAAACATTAGAATTGACGCACAGTGCTTATTTAGATACTATAACTGATGATAAAGAATTCGAAACAGAATTTGAAATAACAGAGGACTATCGAGAGAAGGCTGTTAGGATACAGTTAAAAATCGGAACGAATTCTCGATAATATTAAGAGTAAATTAAACGAAATCCAAAATACGTCGTCAGAGAGTAGTCAGAAATTAGTTACTGATGAAAATACATGTAAAACTTTGTGCCAACGCCTACCGAAAGTAGAACTTTATAAGTTTCGCAGGTGATTTAAAAAATTGGCTTACGTTTTGGAATCAGTTTAAAAACATACATGAAAATAACTAAATTAACGAATGCAGACAAATTCCATTATTTGATACAGTCAACAAAAATTAAATCAGAAGCTAGAGAATATTGTAGAATCTTTTCCGGTGATGAAACGAAAATTATCCTTTGGCTATAGAAAGCCTCACTGAGAGATATGGGCCGTAAAGAACTTTATAATTGATGATTTTTATGTTCGAGAGTTAATAAAACTTGTTTTTGGATAACACAGCGAAAAGGAAGCAGGATTCTTTGAGTAGTAGTTTGTATAACTAAACTTTCAACACAACTTAGAGCCCTGAGCAGTCTTGGTGTAACGACTGATCAGTGTGGAACAATTTTATATCCTCTTGTGGAAAGTGCTATTCCTATTCACGTATTGCGATTGTTTGAAAGACAACGAAAAATTACTGAATCTGAACGAAACATTTCGAGTCTTGATGCAATAATTGAATTTCTGAAAAGCGAAGTTCAGTTCAGTCAGAAGAAAAAATAAAATTAAGCAGAGCGGATATTTTTCTAAGTCTGATCGTAAGCACTTGGCAACTAGCCAAAATATTCCTTCCGCGTCGGATTTGATGAATCATGAAGCAATACCTTCTTGTTCGTTTTGTTTAAAAGATCATGAAACGCATAATTGTAAAAAGGCGTTTTATATCCGTTAGATGAAAAAATGTCTGCGGTAAAAAAGAAAGGTTATGCAGAATATGCTTGGTTAAAGGTCACCTCAGTAACCAGTGTCGATCAAGTGTTAAGTGTCAGATTTGTTCAAAAAGGCATTTGAATTTTTTTTTGTCCTAGTCTTGAATGTAATAAGTCTAGAAAATGATACCAAAAAAAAAAAAGAGAAAACAATCGATTCTTTGCATTGCGTGCTACGAATGAAGTTTTCCTTTAGACCCTAGTTGTGAACATAGAGGGTAAGAATAAAAGGCGTAAAGTTAGATTAATGATTGATACGGGTAGCTCAAAAAGTTATGTTTTAAAGTCTACTGCAGAAGAAATGGGTTTTGACTTGCAATGGGAGGAAGAATTTAGTCACTCTTTATTTGGCGGAAAGAAAACTGAATTTTATAAATATCAAATGTTACAAGATTTATTTGAGTAGCCTTGATGGTAATTATTCGTGTAAATTAGATGCTGTAGGACCATGATGTTATTTGTAATGATATTTCTAAGCATAAGATACGGTTCTTGGATTCGCGAATTAGGAAATAGAAAGGAAATACGCTTAACTGACTACCCAAGGGAATCCAGGCCATATTGAAGTACTTGTTAGGGGCAGACATTGCAGGGAAGTTATTTACTGGCAAACGAGAAAGAACTAAGAACAGGTTTAGTGGCTATAGAAACAAAATTGGGTTGGACTTTGATGGGTAAAGTACCTCAATCCGAACATCCAGCACAATGTAAATATGACTATAGTTTCTATGTTATCTCAAGAAGACCTGACTATTTCATCGTTGTGGGACTTAGAATTATTGGGTATCCGAGATCCTGTTGAACAAAAAAAACTAAAGAAGAGTCAAGAAGAGCTATTATGGTTCATTTCCAAGAAACAGTTCGTCAATTAGAAAATGGTAGATACGAGGTTGATATGCCTTGGAAGATTGAGCATGCAGTCTTACCTGACAATTATGACCCTATTGAAAAGAAACTCGAATCTACTACGAAGAAGTTGGAAAAAATCGGATATCGGGAAAGGTATCATTGAAGTCTTTAATGAATGGCTGCAAGGAAGGAGTGATTGAAGAAGTTTCCCTAAAAGGAGTTGTCTTTACCCATTGTTCATTACCTCCCACATGTCGTCCAGTCATTAAGGAAACGTCCTCACTATCTTCCATGAAAATTAGACCCGTTTTTTGATGCTTCGGCAAAGCTTTCTAATCAGCCATCTCTAAATGACTGCTTAGAGACTGGAATTAATTTGATTGAAACTATTCCGTTCTATTCTAGCAAGATTTCGCTTACATGAAATTGGTATGATTTCAGACATCAGGAGAGCTATTTTTACAGATATCTCTAAATGAAAGAGAATCGAGACTTTTTACGATTTCTTTGGTATGGTGATGAAGGTAGAGTGAAGACATTTCGTTCACACCCGTGTGGTATTTGGCATTACTTGTAGTCCATTTCTTTCTGAATGGCGGTTATTGACCATCATTTAACCAAAGAAACGTGGAAAGAAAAATATTCTTGAAGAATTTCTTAAAAAACTACAAGATAGTTTTTATGTCGATAATTGCGTAACTAGTGTACAAAATAATGACGAACTAGAAATATTCATCGAATCTGCAACTAATGTAATGAAAGAAGGAATGTTTGATCTCAGAGGATGGGAAAGTTCTGGCATTCCTGCATTTTCAGAAAGTAAAACATCACCGGTATTAGGACTGGTTTGGGACAAAGATTTAGATACCTTGGAAATAGACACCGAATTTTTGGAATTTGATGAAGAAAAAAGTAACTAAAGGAAAATGCTTTCACTAGTTAGTCGAGTATTTGATCCCATAGGTTTCTTTGCACCTGTTATGATTCACTCTAAGATTTTGCTGCACGCCACTTGGAAAAGCAAAGAATCATGGGATGATGAAGTAAATGATGAAATTTAAAAAGAAATTTTTAAAATGGGGAAAACACCTGAAATACTTCAAAAATATAAAAATTCCCAGATGGTTAGGTGTGATGAAGGAATCGAATTTAAGCATCCATACTTTTGTCGATGCCAGCAAGACAGCTTATGTGGCATATATTTTCTTAAGAAGTGAATCCAGTGTGGATTCAGTGACTGTTCAATTACTTCAAGCCAAATCACGAATAACTCCAATGAAGACTATTACTATACCACGTCTTGAATTAATGGCCGCTACAATAGGCGTTACGCTGTTTAGTTCTCTGAAGCAAGCTTTAAAACTTCCCAACATCAAGATTTACTTTTGGGTAGATTCTTCCACAATTCTTGTGTGGATAACTTGTCGACAACAGTGGTCGGTATTTGTTACCAACATAATAAGTGAGATTACAAAATTGACAACATTGGAAGATTGGTTCCATATTTCAACTGACCAGAATCCAGCAGACATTTTATCAAGAGGTTGTGGACTTAAACAACTTCAGAAACGCAAGTGGTGGCAAGGGCCAGCCTGGTTGAAGAGTTCGAAGGAGCAGTGGCCAACGTCAGCTGTAAATATTAACGAGAAATAGATGTAGTAGAGATGGAGAAACGAAAGCCAGTCATCTCTGTTAGTAACACAGAGTTAGAGTCAATTTCATTGCAGTTAGCCAGAAGATTCTATAGATTTTCAAAGATGATTAGGGTTATGGCTTGGTACTGCGTTTTCAACCAAAGGCCAAAGACTTAAGAAAATGTACGGAACTTAAAAATGAAGAATTGTTAAATGCACAAAAGATTATTTTCCGTGTAATACCAAAAGGAATGTTACTCCAATGAAGAAACACGAAAAAATTTGAAAGGTCTTCTAATATTTGAAGATGAAGAAGGAATTTTACGATTGAAGTCCAGATTGATAAATGAGGAAGAATCGAAAGATTTTATTTCTCCAATAATTCTACCATCGAAACACCTGGCAGTGAGAAGATTTATAGCCCAAGAACATATTGCTAACAAGCATGCTGGGACATTAACTCTACTGACTATTTTACGGGAAAGATTTTGGATAGTGAAAGGGAAAAGAACTGTCCGGAGTGTTATCAAAAGAATGCTTAACATGTAAAAGGCAAAAGGTGAAACGGTCTTGAGGTACCTTTTCCGCCTCTTTCCAAAAGACCGAACAGAAGTAGCAGCAGTTTTTCAAGTATCAGGGTGTAGTATAGCTGGACCTCTGTTGACTAAATCTTAAACAAAAGGTGTGGATACTACGTTTTTACTTGCGCCGTATTTTAGAGCTGTCCATCTTGAGCTAATACCTTCACTTAGTACTAACGACTTCATCCAAGCTATGCGTAGGTTTATAGCCAGAAGAGGACGAATTTCTGTGATGTATTCAGACATTGGTACTAATTTTACAGGACTAAATAAACGCTTCTGAAACAATTAGATTGGACTACAATTGAAAGTGAATTTAGAGTCAACGAAATTCGTTGGAAGTTTAACCCACCCTCCTTCTCCATGGTGGGGTGGGGGGGGGGCTTCTGGGAACGCTTGATTGGGATTTTGAAAGATCTTTTGAAAAAAAATCTTGGACGCTCCTGTTTGTCTTACGAGGAATTGCAGACTCTTGTCTGTGAATGCGAATCTGTCATGAATAGCAGACCATTAACTTACATATCCGATGGAACAAGAGCTGAAGACCTTGACCCCCTCAATGTTTTCTTCCGGACATTCCATTAAATGATATTCCTGACTTGGATCAAATTGAAAAGACTAATATTGTTTTGAGATGGAGACCTATTCAAAAGTTTCGTGAAAATCTAAAACGAAGGTTTAAAAGGGAGTATCTGGGTTTCCTTCGTTCTTCAGTTAACAAAAGAGAAGATAAAATAAATGTAGGGGACATAGCGTTAATTGGTACAGATGATAAAAAAAGGCTCCATTGGCTGCTAGGGAGAGTACTGGAACTCTTTCCAGGAAAAGATGGAATCATCAGACTTGTGAAACTGCGAACTGAAAGGGAAACATATTAAGACCAATCCAACGACTGTATCCTTTGGAATTGACCCCAAATTACGAGCAAGTCGTATCGGAACCTCAGAAGGTTCCGGAAGTGGTAGCTGAAAATCCTGAGCTTAATACTGACTCTAATGAAACTGTTCGCGTGTCTCGCTCAGGACGAAAAATAAACCAGTTAAAAGACTGGATTTATAAACTTCTAAGCAAACTTTTGAACTTTCTGTGTTTGAACTCTAAATATTTGATTTATTTGCATTCTAATATTTTGAAATATTTCTATTATTATTATGTACGTTATTGTTATTTCAAAATTGTATGTATGTATTATCATTATATTACTGTTTTGAGTTTGTATCCCCACTGTTTCGAGACTTCTAATCTGAATAGTAATTGTGTCATGTAATTGTCTCAATTCCTTTAAGTTCAAACATGATTTCACAGGAGTTAAGCGTAAAAGTTTGTTTACATGTGAACGTACAATAATTTCAGTTTTACCAAGTCGATCTTTTAATAGCTCAAAAGCTAAATCGTAATTATTTTGCGTTAATGTCAATCCTTGTATACGTTTTAATGCGGAATTCTCTAAGAACGATTTTAAATAGTTAAATTTATCAATTTTTGATAACTGTTTATTCTCATGAATTGCACTTCAAACTGTCCCCAAAATCCCTGCCAGTTTTCATATTTGCCGTCGAACGCTTCTATTTTTAATTTCGGCAGTTTGACATTAGGATAATTAATAATTACCCCTTCTTTCAGAAATCCTAGAGGATTCATTCTATACATCAATTTTACTTTCGTTTTCAGGTTTAAAGTGTCTTTCTAGTTTCGATTTGGAACTTGTAATCTTTTCGCGGTATTCCTGGTGTTAGATACGACAGTAAATGTACACCATTTTGTCCATTCATCAACTCATTTCTACCTAAATAATCTCTCAAAAATTTAAACACAACCAAACAAGTTTATTCTTAAACTCACAATGTTCACGACAAGAGCACTACAGAACGCCTATATAAAACACTTTACATTGACAAACCTGATCTTTTTCAGTTTCTATTTTTACATCTGCAATGAAGCATGATGCCTCAATAATAGATATTATGACTAATAATGCAGCAAGATAAAAAAGAGGAATTAATTACAGTCTGAAAGAAGATAGTCATGTTATCATAATTCTATGCACTAGATTTGGGAAATGTTACAGCAAAATTATTTTGAATTAATGAATCAAGAAGCAAAAAGAATCTATAATGAAGATAGCAGTGAATCAAGGAAATCAATGCAAAGAAGAATAGGTAATTGATAAACTATACTGATACTAATTATGTTATTTACCATTTAAAGATACGCTTCACAGCTACATGCTAATCGTTAACACGAACCAGTGATTATCATACCAAATGATTAGAACATTCTGCACATTTTTATGTTTTGCTACTAAGGGTATTAATTAAAATATGACTTGGTAATATTTGCAATAATATGGAGTCAAACAAAATGAATAGCACCAAACAATTTTCAGTAACAACCTTCAATTAGGATTGTGTGTTTAAAACTGAAGAACACATGTCAGGATAAGATTGCACATTATTTTTTACTTTATTCTGAAGCTTCATATGGTCATAATAATAATAATGAAGGAATTTTTTCAAATAAGTGGACATCTTTCACAATCATCTGCTGAAATTATGTATATCCAATAAACACTTGGGGGGTGGCAAACCTTCTTGCAACCACTAATTTTTCAGTCAAGGTCATATACCCATCATTCACAGCTATTTCGAGTATTTCAATTCATTCCTTACTCTCTCTTCTGTAAGCATGACAGGCTGTTTATTAATATCACAGAATTAACATAGCTGATCATAGAAATGATAGAATCTATTGCACAAAACTATTAAATAATTTTGACATTATGCAACAATAAATAACAAGCATCAATAGCAGAAATGGATACACAATTAATTATAGTGCTATTATTTTTCAGCAACAAATAGCATATTGCTCTTAAAATATAAAGGTTATTTCTATCTTTGAACTTTACATACATGTTTGTTTTATGACTGGCGCATAATTTAGGATCTTCTACCCCTTCCTGTGCATAGGTCTAATAGCATGCTACTACATTCAGACTGTTCTTATAATAAAAGGAATCACTCACATTTTTTAGTGATCTTCCTAGAGCTTCACCAACACTTCCTTTCTTAAATTTTTCGACAAATGAGGGACAGTTTTTATCACTATTAGTGCTTGAAACATTAATAATTTGCTCAAGAGCTGATTTTGTTTCAGTAACAAAATCAAATACTAAATCTAAGGCGCTTTCAATCTGAAAAGAAGATAAGCAAAATGTATAAAAAAATCTCAAAAACTAAATGCCATACAATTTTTTAATTTTGACAACTTTGTTACATTATTTAAAAATGCAACTATATTTAAAACATTTACATTTGAACACAACATTAAAAAATATTGTAGAAACACAATTTAGTGAAACACTAGCAACTGTGGTAACACTGTTCGTTTTTGCTGAGTATTGGTACTAACTGATGAACAATAGAAATATTTTAAAAAAATTCATTTTTAACTTCTGCATTTCTGAAAAGAAATCACAAAGGACAAAAAAAAAAAAAAAACAGCTTGTATGGAAAAATTAACATTTTATTCATAGCCCCAGATTACAGTAAAAATTGAAAACTTATACCCCAGTTAACAGTTTTTCAGAGAATCTCTTCTGATTTAGCTAATAAGTTGGCAGTAGTTGTGTTATTAACAGAACTTATTCTAAAGTCAAACAACAAAAATCAGCGCTATATTTTCAAATTTTCTCAGTGCCTGTGAAAATTTGAAAATATAACCCTGATTTTTGTTTGACTTCTGAATTAGTATTTGTTCGGAGTGTTATTGTGTCTTAATTATTAACAGAAGTTAAGAGTTTTTACAATCAATGATATCAATGTTTTTGGTATGAGCCAATGAACATCAGTATTAAAATAACTGGTCTGAATAATGATTATCATATATAGTGTGTTGTGAAACCCCTATAGAGGGTGTTCTAACTTCCTTACTTCTTTGAGTTAGGATTTGAATTTTGAACTGTAACTAGATGTATAGAATGTTTGTAATGGAGTCGCCGGTCCTAATAATTATTGGCAAGAGAGCATTATGCTCTATTTCAAACACATTAAGCTGTAAATAAATTTATCTTTGTTGTGTTTCTAAACTGAGACTTTTATCAATGATTGTTTTAAACCTGAACTACCGAAAGAACATTATTGACTTTGATAATAGTTATTTTCGTTGGATTTTTCTTTATGGCCCATCAGTGATAGAATAGCTGGGACTAGCGGGTTATAACTTTTTGGATTACTAAATCATGCCCGCAAAGGAATAAAAAACAGGCTCCCATTTTGTATTCATTAACAGTCCTTGGATGTACTGCTATTGTATTGTATTAAAAATTGGCAGCGCTAGAACTCGCAAAAGCTAAACGAAAAACAGTTCAAAAATTAATTCAGTTAATTAATCAAATTGATGCTAAATTAAAGTCAGGAGAAGAGCCTGATAAGCAGGATTTAAGAGATAATTACGAGTTCTTAACAGAAAGAAATAACTTTCGACAGTGAAATCGAAACTTTCGTTGTAGTTGATCAAATGGAAAAAGAGGTTACGGCGAGACAGGAATATAATGCGAAATGTTTGACGTACTCAAGAAGAATATTATGTTACTTAAAAGCAAAACTAAAGTTCAGTCAGCTTCAAGTGATTTGAATGATCAAAGTATGAATGCCTCTTTAAGTGAAAATTTAAGAAATCAATGCTTAATTAAAGTGCCAAAGTTAGTAACCTAAGAAATTTTCCAGAGATCCGAAACACTGGCAAAAGTTTTGGAATAGTTTCAAATGTGTGATAAATAAAAACAAAAGCTTTTTAAAAGGTGAAAAATTCATGTATCTTGAAACATTTTTAACAGGTCAAGCTGCCTATGATGTTTCACGATTTGAATTATCTAATGAAAGTTACGATAACTGCATAAAAATTCTGAAAGACAGGTTCAGGAAAAGAGATATCATTGTAAATTCTTTCATTAATAAAAATACTAAATTTAGAGGAAGTAAAAAATTCTTCTAATGTTTCAGCATTATGAAGAATTTATGATGAGGTTGAGATCTCTATCCGAAATTTAGAGGCAATAAATGCTATATCAGGCTCTATTGGACATCTGTTAATGCCTATTTTGCAAAAAATCTTGCCTCACGATCTAATTTTAGAATTTAACAGGCAAAGGGATGAAGATAGCGTTCACATTTCTAAATTTATTTTATTCTTAAAGAAGGAGGTTGAATGTCGTGAAAGTACTTTATTGGTTTGCAGTAAAAATAAAATGTTTACTAATTATTATAATCAGCAAACTATAAACAAAAGACACAACAGAAATACACCCAAGGCTAGTAACACTTCAGTACAGCGAGCTGGCATCTTCTGTGAGAAACACAACAATCTTTTTAAATGCTGTAAAGGGATAACTGAGAAAATTACCATTCTCAAAAGGCATACCGTATTTGACGGCATATAAGACACACCCTTATTTAGAAGGCCACACACATGTAGATGTAGAAAAATTTATGTGTGTCTAGACCTTTATCCGGGCTAAAAATCGCATTCAGTATGCAAGTTAACCTTGTCCTTCCCGTATAAGACGCAGGTAACTTTTTTTGAGACCAAATTTAGGAAAAAAAGTGTGTCTTATATGCCGTCAAATACGGTAACTGATGTTTGAAATGTTTTAAGAAATTTCATTTGAATCGTTTTTGCAGAGATAAAAATGAATGCAGTAAATACAATGGCCAAAATCATCATCAATCTATCTGTTTGAAAAGTAATGAAGAGATATCAAATTTATTTAATTTACCTGAAAATGAATCAGTTACCTTAAGATCGAAGAAGGAACCTTTAGTTTCAAATGTTAATACTAACACTTTTGTTTCTCAGTGTAATATTTCTATTTCAAAGAATACTTTATTACAAACATGTACTGTTTTTGCTTGCAATGAAAACGAAACAACAACAACAACAAAAAAAAAAAAAAAAAAAAAAAAAAAAGTTGCTCATATTCTTCCTGATCAAGGCAGTGAAAGATCATTTATTAAAGATACCTTAGCGAGACCTTTAAAATTAGAACCTATCCAAAATGAAAAACTGTGAGTTTTTCATTTGGAACTAAGAAATCTATAATTTAGAATTATCCTGTGGCTGTAATTGAATTAAGAGATAGAAATCAAAAGAACAAAATAAAATTTGAATGCCTAGTGACTAACAAAATATCAGCATGTCCAATAAAGACTCCCAAGACATAACACACATGCAAAAATGAAGCGCTTGCATTCAGCAGATCTGAGTAAAAACAACAATGAAGAATTACAAAATGTGGGAATATTTATTGGCATCCACCAATTCAGGGATGTAATGCTGACAAGTCAAAAACACATAAATAAACATCTCCAAGACATAAATTCCATTTTTGGATAGCCATTAGTGGGAAATGAGGGGGCGGGGGAAACCGAAAGGAAGGTAATGATTTGAAGCACTTAACAATAATAGTAGGGAATTCCTTGGTGTCAGATGATTTAAGCGTGTTTTGGTAGCACAAATTAATAGGAATAATAAATGAAGGCCAAAATGAATTTAATGAAACTGATAATGACCTAATTAGCCATTTTGAAAGAGATTTAAAAATGGACGATATGAATGTAAACTATTGTGGAAATCTACTACAGAAGACTAGGAAAGAATTTTGTTATTGTAAAAAGGCAGTTTGAATTTTTAAAACAAAAACTGCAGTAAACTCTAGAAATATTGAAAGAATATAAGGAAATTATTGAAGAATATTTAAGGGATAAAACAGTCAAAGAATGCCCTAATGAAATCAAACTTTCACAGTATTTTATATGCCGCACTGAGCTGTAATTCGCAATTCTAAGACTACTAGCGTCCAAGTAGTTTTTTATGGTTCTTCAAAGATTTGGATTTGGCAAATCCAAATCTTTAAGTGAGTGTCTAGAAATCAGCCCAAGTTTGAATCCAGAAGTTCTTGATGCGATCCTGAGGTTTTGTGAACATGAAATAGCATTTTGCGAGGACATAGAAAAGGCATTTTTAATGATTGGCATTGCAGAAGAAGATAGGGATTACTTAAGTTTCATTTGTCTTGGGAATGATGACCAATCATGTAATATTCTGCGCGTGTGTCGGGTCCTGTTCGGGATTGCAATTAGTCCTTTTATATTAGCTGCTATAATAAAATATCACATTAAAGTGTATAAAGAGGACACCCCAAGAGTTTTAAAATGCTTAATTCTTCTATTTATGTTCATGACTTATATTATGGAGGTAAAGCTGTAGCATACCGATTCCCTGTAAATATTTTTCAGGATGGGGATATGAATTTGAGAAAATTGAAATCGAATTCAGAAGAATTAAATGCCTTATGGATGAGGTCAAACATTAAAGTGGAAGATAGCTTCAATAAAGAAACATAATTTTGGAGTATGATTCAAGATCCTAGCAACAATGCAATAAAGCTAAACATGAGATCAGTTCAGGAGTCAATTGAAACTGGTGAAGGTGACACAAAAAGACTGATTATGAAAACTGTATACAAAATATTTGACCCCATTGAGTATTTGCAACCATTTATAGTTGGGGTTAAGATCATGTTACAAGAGGATTTAAGATCTTGTTCTGGGTTTAGAGTGGGATGTTGCACTTCCTACTAATATTAAAAAAGGTGGATAGACTGGTGTGCAGAAATGAAAGTTTAAAAAACCCCCAATTTCTCTATCCAATTCTTTCACAACATTAATCACAGGCAGCTAAGCATTCATATTTTTTTTGCGATGCCACACCCAGAGCTTGTGGAGCAGTCACGTAAGATATACTTATGAAAATAAGGAAATTGAAGCCAATTTCATAATGGTAAAAAAGTAGAATCGCTTCCCTCAGATCTTAAACTCTCCCTAGATGTGAGCTATTGGGAGCTGCTTTAACTGCTAAGCTAAATATTTAAAACACACCCTGCCTACGTTAAGCAACAATATTATTTTTTGAAGTGACTCCCAAATAATGCTGTATTGGATAAGGAAATCACCTGGAAGCCATTGTTGCCAACCACATAGCAAAAATCCAGGCAATTTGCAATGCCAACCAGTGGTACTATTGCAGTGGAAAAGATAACCGAGCAGAACTACTATATGGAAGGAAATGAGCTGAGATCATCAACTCAAGTCTGTTATGGCAAAACGGACCAAGCTGAGATCTTTCTGGCTTCTT